ATTATTGGGCACTTGATAACTTCAAACCCAATATTGACTCTTAATGTAGTTGTGTTTTGAGCTCTACCGGCTTTTAAAATGTTTGTCTTTTTAGCTGCTAACTTCTTGCCTGGATCCACTTCACTGTAACAAGTTAAAAGTTTTGTTGTGTATCTGGCAGACTAACTGCCTGTGTTCATCAGCAACCCTATTACTGCTATTTATTGCTGGGCACATTACAATTTCAGAGCTCTTTTCTGAATACAACTGACTGCTATTAGACTATAGCAACACTGTGAGAGTGGAGAGAGTCAGGTCAGAAAAACAAAACAATGAGCTGAAATTTGACATAAAGCTCTGTGGAGTTGAAAGGAAATGTAGGATTGTGTAATATATCCCTGTGGGTGTGCAACTACGTGCACACAAATGGTCATATGATCCATTGTTAACATGAAAACACTTTTGTAGCTTTAGGCAAAGACTCCACCTTCACTTTAGAAAGTATTGATTTATCTTGTGCTGCTGTTAGAGGATAAACTCCGGAAACTGAAGTATCTTTAGTAACATTGTTAGTATTTTTGTACTAAAAAAGCATTGCCACTGATGTGTTTGAATGAAAAGGATGTGACAAAGTGGTAAGCAAATTAGCTCTCATTTAATGTTCAAGGAACTGAACAGTATTTGTGAAACCCTGTCCTTTTGCACTGCTGCACGGGGATTTCATGTCGCTTCAGATGACTTCCACAGAATGTAGCTCGGTATTTCACAGGGAGTTTCCATCCTGTTCCTGTCAGAGTTTAGTCCCCCACTGGTTCCTCAGTACGGCACACACTTCACATGTATGTACACACTGAAACAAACTCACATGTGCCTTATTTATGAAATTATAAACTCATCACAATCCATTGTGAAGTCTTAAATTCACTGTAACCTTTGTAATAACTACGAGGTAACTAATTTTGGCCCTTGGATGCTATGTTCTGTCTGCTCTGCACCAGTGCTAAGAATAGGCTCAGTGTCAGAGCTCAAACAAGTCTATCCTGCTTCTGCATTTCCCCCACATATCTGAGCTCTTCCAGAAAGAAGTACAGGAAGAAAGAGGATAAATCATCATGCTGAGTCAGAGAGGACACGTAGCATTTATCCACGCAGGAGTGACAAAGTTCACAGTCAGCTGCAGACGTGATACAAGTGTTTTTAGAGCCTTCATCGAAAAAGTGATAGAGCTGGTCGTTTGAAATCCACAACGGCAAAATCATACTTCACGTGTTTATGTAAGCAAAATGGATAACGCGGCCAACGCAGAGCACATTTAGCTGCTCCAGCTATTTAAATTCTCACATAGACTCTGACCCACAATTTAGAAATTCCTCCACCAGGTCATGTGACTTGTTTGCGTTTTTATGTGTCGTGAACCATGCCTCTGTCACGTCTTGTTCTGATGAGCTTGCGAGTCACGAACATTGGTGGGGGAAGATGTGACTTGCATGCTACTCCATCTGGTGCGGACATCATTATACAAACAGATCTTTCGCTGCACTTTAGTGCACCGGCATGCGATGGCAATACACTGCAGCTCAGCAGCTTTTGCACACATGCCAAATTTGATTTAGTTTTCAGGAACTTGCACATAAAAGAAATTTAAATTTAATCAGAGTGAATGTTTTACAGACGGGGCTTTGACCTTAGACATCCCTCCAGGCACTCTATGTATAGCAGATTCAGAGAGCAATTAGATCATCTTACAGGCTGAAGTAGGTTATTCTGTGTTAAATATATTGAGTAACACACGCAGAGTACATCTTATTCTTGGGGCTAAATTTGTACCTGAAATTAGTAAATGTTATGTAATGTTATGTAATTATTTTCATCACATACATATTAGCCCTAACAAACCACCAGCTATTTAAATGCTGAGCTCTCAACAAAAGATTGCAAAAGAAAAGGGAACGTGACTGTGATTTTTCAAAGGCAGGAAACTGCTCATACTAACAACACTGTGAGTTATACAATGATTTATCTTTCTCTCGCTTTCAAAACTGATCCTAAATATTATTACCTTTTAGTATTATAATGAAAATCACTGATTCATAATGATTTCCACCCACACAAAGGCCCAAAAAGGACATTGTGTCTGAATCAGAAGGCAATGAAGGTTAGAGTTAGCAATGAGCAACTTTAGAGTGAATAACATTTCCACAAAAACATCATCATATCTGTCACTGGTCTCATAGAAAATGTGTGCAAATTGGAAATTCACAAAGCATTCATAACTAACCAGAGCTGAAATCAAGGTGATTATTTACTAAATCACATTAAAGATATTATAGGTCATAGTAACTTTACTCATATATTCCAAGAAAGCAAAACTATAAAATGGCGTGAAACAAGCACAACAGGGAAAAGACATGGGCCAGAGGCTTGGCCTTGTGTGGATGTTCTGTGTGTGCTCAGTGTGTGCTCAGTGTGTCAGGTGACAGTGAGGAAGCAGCTTTTCAAACTGCAGCAACCTTAAAGCTGCAGTCAGAGTGACAAGCCCAGGTTCACAGCAGAGAGACAGAAAAAGGAGACTGGCCTTACAGTCCTTGCTGCGTGAGCGTCTGTATGCGTCAGCACCGAGAGGGTAACAAGTTCACCTCGACCTGCTGATGTCTCCAGAGGCCATTAGCAGACTCTTATGCTGTCTTAATAGTACAACAGCACAACATTTGTGCAATTAGTTGCAGGTTCAAAATGAAACCTTAACAGCAGCTTTGTCAGCAGACTCATACTGAAACACTCAAATGATGATTGTGCTTTTCATTCTTCCTGCGACTTTCAGCACAGATACGTGAGAAGCAGAGCTGCATCTGAGCTGCATGTAGCATCTAACATGGATGTAGCTCAGCTGACATCCTCCAGGCTTCTTAAAATGGCTGAATTAATATGGTGGGGAGGGACTAGAGCAAGAATAGGAGGAGACTGTTTAGACACCTTGCAGCTGACACAAAGAAAACCTAAACCCAAACCCAGAGAAAACCAGATATTGAAACAGATGAATACAATTTATCAATCAGTGATATAAGGTGGTCATGGTATGTTTATAGAAAAATAACCAGCAAAGCTTAGCGTAGCTTGCACAGTGCAAGTAATCTAATGGACAACAGCTGTCCTAGGATTTGTAATGCACAGATTTACAGATAGGAGACAAAATAAAGAAAAACTTGAATCCTTGACCCCTACACAATGAGGGGATGTGGTGTCTCTGTTATACTGTGGAGGGCATTTTACTGGAGTGGTTTGGGTTCACTAGTCCTCTTACATAGAGGTGTCACTGCAAATCAATACAAAGCTGCTCTGAGTGATCACCTTTATCCTATGATGAAACATTTCTGTGCCGATGGGAGTGGTCTCTTCATGGATGACAATAACCCCATCAACAGGGCAAAAGGGGTCACTGAATGGTTTGATAAAAAAATATGTGAATCGTAAGTTGTAGCCTTCACAGTCACCAGAATTTCACCACAGGTGAACATCGATCAGAGGTTTTGGACCAATGTGTTGGACACGGCCATCATCAAAGCACCAAATGAGGGAATATCTTTTAAAGAATTGTGTTCATCCCTCCAGTAGAGTTCCAAAGACTGGGAGAATCAGGCAAAAAAAAAAAAAACCCTCAGAGGCTGTTCTGGAGATACATCAGTTTTTAACAGATGCAGATGTCATACAGCTCTACTGACATTTGTAAATTTGTAAATGTGTATATTAATTCATTTTCATTTATTTTTTGGCTATGTTTTCAAGAACGAAGGCGTTTTTTGTGAACAATTCACTTTGAACAAATAAGTCAGGCTTCTGAATTGATAAAATGAATCTTACAACAGATTTCTAATAAAACTTGACGGACAGATGAGCTGCTGTTTATCTTCTGGTTGTGATTCTGTCAACACTCGCGCTCCATGTCTCATAAACTTATCTTGAGATAACTTAAGTGAGACCTGTTGCTTGTACTGTACTTAAATACAAATTTAAGGTTCATGTGCTTGTGTTATCATTTCATGACCCTTGTTGCTACATTTCAGTACAATTATGGTTCTGTTTACTCTGCAACCTTTATCTGACAGCTTTAGTTATCAGTTACGCTCCATTTTACAATTATTCCATTCAAAAGACGGGAATAGCATATAAAATATGATGCGTAACAGATTATTCAAGTTGAGCTACGACAATAAGTCCCATAGCAGGAAATTAATAGGCAACTACTGTGAAGTCAAATCAAGCCACTTGTATTTATATATACCACATTTAATCCAATAGCTATGTATAAAATATAAGTTAACCTGACCATAATAAATACTAACCTCCAGAACCTACAGTATTATTAATTATGGAGAATTACCTGACTAATGTATTTAATATTATTGTTGTTGTTGTTTATAATAATAGATTGTAAATAATAATAATTTAATTTTTCACCTTTTCTACTTTGTAACTACTCCAATAATGGTTGAGCAAAAGACTGCATTGTAATAAATCATAATACTAATGTATAAAGAACATTATAATTAGTTGCAGTACATACAAGACTCAGTGTCATACAGCTAGGGCAGTAAAGCCCTGATTTTAAATTAATGCATGAGCAATAATAATCCAATGTGATGTAACAGTACAACAGTCACAAGGACCATATGTCTGCATGGAGTACTTTTACATGGATACTTAAAGTGCATTTCCGTGATTATGGTTCTGTAATATTTAATACAGACCTTGTCGTATTTTTACGGAGTGGTATTAGTACTTTCACTTCAGTAACGGAGCTGAACGCTGCTGCTGCTGATATAAGTCTCTTATGTGAATGTGAATTGTAATAAACAGGTCAATCTGCTGCCTCATGGCATGCAACCTGCGCGTACACGTCAGCGCCGCGCAGTCTCTGACGTCCGCTGCTCGTGCTGCCTACGTCATGACGCTGCCAGCTGATCGGAGTGGTGAAGCCGGGTGTGTGTCTGTCTTTGGGTGTGTGTGTTGGAGAGAGAGAGAGAGAGCGAGAGAGAGAGAGAGAGAGAGAGAGAGAGAGGGAGGACCGGGGCAGGAGTTGTGTAAAAGGGGCTGAAGTCCTGCGCTGCCTTCTCCTCCGCCGTTGCGATAAAAAGGCTCCAGACTCTTGTCAAAGCTCATCACACCGTGGACGTAAAAACCAAATCCACAGAGGACGACACACCCCGCTGGAAGCCTCGGGACTCAGAAGAGCGGTGGGCGAGGCAGCCTGAACTCCGCCGGACCGTGCAGCTGCGTCGGAGGCTCGAGGCAGGAGCGACCCGGCCGGTGGTCAAGGTGGGGCGCGTTACTTAGCGGCCGTCAGGCTCGTCTGTGTGTCTCTGCTGGCGAAATGCTTGTTCCTGTCAGCCTGATTTAGCCCGTGGCGGCGTGATGACCCAGTTTGCGTGGAAATGGCAACTGGGAAACCGTCCTTTACATGACTTTATTCAAGTAAGAAAAAAGAAAAAGAAAAAAAAAACCTCCTCTGCAGGTCAGATTGCAGTTTTTTCTGCACATTTTGCCGTCGTCAGATTCTGGTGGATATAGATTTGGTGTTATAGGAGTTCTGGCTGAAGGCCTGTCTGTGGATCCAGGCCCACTGACACAGGGGAGCTCATAGGATTTATGGGCACCTTAGAAAATTTGACATTTGGCCACCCCACCAGAGTCAGCAGGCATTTAACTTACATTTGAATGACTGTCAGTGAAATTAAAGGGAGAGGCTTTGTTAAAGTGCCTCTTGGAGTGTTTTGTAAAAGCTTAAAGACTGCATAAAATGTGCAAAAAAAAAAAGTCAGAATTAAATCTGAATAATGCGGAGGCAAACAGAAGAGCATGCAGACCACACAGACAGCATGTCATCGGTGCTAAAAAGATGTGTTTTTACATTAACCTTTGTAAATTATGCGTCATGACTGCCATATTGAACATTCAGGAAAAACTAGAAAACTTGTGGCGGAGCCTTGAAAGAATTCGCTTCATTCATCATGTCAAATGTTGGATTTACAGGGAGACGTTGCAGTGGCAAGTTGAGGTCTGCATTTATATAATCCAAACTTGTCAAGAAGTGTCAGCATCGAAAGCCTCTTAAAATTTGCTGAGTTCATAACAGGCCGAGAAAACAGCCTGTGCTCAAGTAGGGGATAGGTGAAAATCAGGGTGATAAATGAGGCCGAGTCATTTCTCAGAAATGCAGTGACACCAGCAGTCTTTTGGCAGAGATGGAAGATTCCTCAAATGAAAGATAAGTGTATGAACGCGTATATTCCTCTGGATGTTTGTTAAGACCAGTAAAACATTCTCAAAGCAGGTGACGTAACAAAGTATCCAGGCCTCCTTTTGCAGCTCTCAAATGTCCTCATCTCATATACACAGTTCTTTATAGGCTTTTGCACTTGAATAAAACATCTTAAAAGGAAAGTGCATTTATGTATAAGTAGTGTTTCTCCTGGAGGAATAGTTAGAGGGGGAAGGCTTACTGTAGTGTATGTTACTGCGATGGAGCCTGTCTTACATAATTGTACAGGCAGAGTTCAGTGTGCCGGTAGGAATGCGCAATAGACTGTGTCACGAGCTGCATTTGTGCCATTGCAACCCAGAGTGTGACATAAGCCACCCTGTCAATGAGGATCACATGGCAACAACAGGATGTCAGTTAAAATGCAGCTCATCTTGTCTACATGTGTTGTTTGCGTCGCATCCAGGAAAAAATCAGCAGCCTCCCCTGTGCTGTTTTATTGCCTACATTTGCAGAAGTGGAGCCATCTTGCTCAACTTGGGTTACACCCTTCATTCCTATTGCGTGCCTTGTCAAGAGAAGATGGGGCAAGAAGGGATGTGTTACGTAGGTTCATTTAAAAAGAAAAAAATCCAGTTCTTTTAAACAAAATGGCACCGACTGCCTGAGGACAGGCTTACAGGCCTCATACAGCACATTACCATTTCCCGGCAGTGCCATGAATTCAGAATGGCACTCAGCCATTCCTTTTAGCAACCAACACAACCTACACCCTTTATTTGTTGCGATCTCGGGGTTAAAGTCAGATAGCCTTTAAAGTCCAGCAAGCAGCAGAGCGTCAGAAGAGGCTCTCTGCACTATGATCAGTGCTGCCAAAGCCACCGCCCTTTCCCTGTCTTTGTCCCCATTCCCAGTCTAAAATGATCAGTCTATATTACAGACTACAATCTGGGGCAGTAAACACTCTCCAGCTGAGCCACACCCACAGCAGAGGAATGTACCTGAATTGATGTAACAGACGCAGAACATTTCATTATCATGTGTTTCCATTCGCCGAGCTGCAGCAGCAATATGCAGATCTGTAACTCTCTTTTCACACGTTTGCGTAGCTCCACTGCTGTGGCGCAAAACCAAAGTCGGACCAGTGATTGAGGTATCTTATCTTGTCTCCTCATGCCGCATTCTCACACAATAGCGTGACCCTCAGAGCGAAAAGGTCAAACTAGTGGGCTCGAAGCATGACGAAGAGCTCCGTCCGTCTTTCTGACAGGGGATCTATCAGGCCTGCTCTGCATCTTCCACCCCTTTTCCGTTTTCTCTTCCTGTTCTTCACCTTCATCTGAAGCCGCTTCGACCTGTTCACCTCTCATTTTCCTTTTTATTTAGCTTTTCTTGTAGCCAAGGCAGCTAAAGAGCTAAAAATGCCATTTACACCCTCCTGTTGACACACTACTGCTCTCGGACATCCTGTTTGTTCAACTCCACCGTGTTTTTCCTCTTTCTTTGTGGCAGAGAATGCACGTCTCCAGTCGTAGATAAGCTCCGTCTTTTGTGTTTAAGGCTGTATGTTATCTCTTTTTACACTGTTGCCCCGTGTATAAAAGCCTGTCTCAAGGCCTTCCACACGGCCTGTCATGTGGCTCTGTCTGCCTCCCTTTCTCAGATGAGGCCAAGACAGACAGAAAGGAAGAGAACGAGGGGAGGGGGGGGTCAACCTGACACTAAAGCCTCGTCCAGTGCAGACCAGATGTAGTAGATCGAGAGGGGATGGCTGAGAAGCAGAGGGACGGAAAAGAAGGAGTGGAGGAGACTGTGCGAGCCCACAGCAGCCGGATGGAATTTCTAACATACGCAGCTGGAATGTCAGGAATGCAGGACAGTCTGATCTGACCGAGAGAGAGGGTGGAGAGGACAGACGAGTCAGGAAAGACAAAAAAAGGAGAAGAAGAAGAGATACGGGAAAGGGTGGCACAGCAAAAGAGTCGGAGGGCTCAACACTGCTCGTCTTTGTGAACGTAAAGATACAGAGTCACTGTTTGTGGAGGGAGTGGCACGCTATGGAACAAATAACTAATTCAGCTTCAGTTTGAGGTTGTGGCAGCCATAATCAACAGCTAAGACTGTCAGTGGTCCTGTGGGTGGCCCGAGGACTAGTACTGCATGTCCTCTTCCCTGACTGCATTCAAATTAACACTAGCATGAGCCAGTGTGCGTCTGAGGCAGTTCACTTAATGATGACCTTCTTTTGCTGAGGTTCCACATCCACTGCAGCTCACTTTTTTTTATCCTCCCCAACACCCGCTGCAAAAAGTGACATCCAATCAGTCACGCTGCATTTTTTTTTTCTTTGTCATGCTGGCAGCACGTGTCAAGGGATGTCAATGTGGGTCTGTCAGTTTGGTGCTCCTCCGCATTGGTCCAACCTGTAATGTCAATGGGAGATGGATTGCAACGAAATTTGGTGCAGACATTCGTGGTGCCCAGAGGAGGAATCCTAATGACTGCTTGCATGTCAGCACATTAAGCTAAGAACACTTACGCGCTAAACAACGATATCAACATTTAGCTACAATTGCTAGCTACAGTTGTGCAAGCAAGCCTGTAGACTCTGGATGTAAAAAGAAGAACTAGATACTGGATTGCAACCTCATTCTTTCAACTGGAATTTACTCAAAAAAAATTTCTGTGCTTCCACCCATGAGTTATCCGGATGTTCCGCATGCTACGACAGTTTTGGGCCCATAGTGCTTATGTATCAGCGTCTTTCTTAGTTGAGGCCACAACTCCTGGCACCTGAGCCGGTTGAATTTCTTATGGTTTCCCGCACAAATCAATAAAAAATTAAACAAAAATATCCGTACGAGTTCACTACACGTTTCAAATGTTAGAAGACAGAATGGATCGAAATGTGCTAATAAAACTAGTCATTTGTCTGAGTTTGGCCAGAAAAATGTAGTCACTGCTCCTTTTCCAGTGATTGGGTATGGGGGAAATGGCCTTTGGGCTGACATAATGCAGTTTAGTCACTATGATAAAATCACCAGACAACCCAGTGCTGTTCCTGAGAGCTTGCTGTGGACATAACCTCAATCACAAACCCTCACAAACTTAACTGTTGTCACCTGTTATGTGATCGAGTGTATGAAGCTGCAAGGGCTTCAGATGGTATAAATAGGAATGGGACAGCACTTTTAGAAAGAAGAAAAATGAAGCGCTTCATGGCATGCCTATGACATTACTTTGACGACGCCAAAACATGTTTGATTGTGGGTTTGGAACTTTTTTTATTTAACTTTCCTCACGGCCAAGCCACTTCAGGGAAAGCATATTTGGAATTCATCATCATGCCATCAAGGACAAACAACTCCACACAGTTCTTTCTATGAATCACCAGTAAGCCATGTGTTTATACTTATATGTAAACTTCTTTCTTCTTGTAACGCTAGGGTTGGTTACTCCTGGGCTTCCCCTGGTATCCCTGTGTTTAACATCACAAAGCTGTGAACTGGGGGTAATTCCCTCGACAAAGTCTCCAGAAATACAGATTTACGGAAAGTGTGCGTAAAGAGCTCAAAATGTCTGCGAGAAAACCCTCATGCAGTTGTTGGGTTGACAGTGGGGCAGCCCTGAGTCCTTGCACATTTAGAGGGAACACGCCTCAAAGTGTGAGAGTCCATGAGTGTGGACGCTGGGTTTGGGTTTAAGTCTTGTTTCTTGTTAACAGTACCAATTAGAAATCCTCTGTAACCCTCATGGGTGGCCATCATAAGGGGTATATCTTTAAAACAAATGAGAGTTTAAGTGGAACAAAATTCATCTAAATAAATGAGGTTTTGCTTATCCATCTGGATAAATGAGGACAGCAGTAATGCAGGCATTGTACCAGACTGTCGTGGTTGAGATGAAGCTCAGCCAGAAGGCAAAGCTCTTGATTAACCCGTCGATTTATGTTACAACCCTCACCAGTGGTCATGAGCCCCCAGTCGTAACCGAAAGACTGATGACGCTGATGTAAGCAGCTGATAGAGTAAAGGAGCTCGAAGTAGAGTCTCTGCTCTTTCATGTCAAAAGAAACCAGCTGAGGTAGTTCAGGCATCTTACTTGGGAGGTTTTTTGGGCACATCGAAGTGGGAGAAGACCCCAGGGTTGGTCCAGAACTCACTGGAAGGATTATGTATCTCATCTGGCCTGGATCCCCCAGGAGGAACTGGGAAAAGGTGCGTCTTGAGTGATCTGCTTAGTTTGCTGCCTACATGATCTGACCCTGGATGAGCAAAAGAAAATGGACGGATGGAAAACCTCATTTATTACTTTTGTATATTGTAGTTTTGCGAAAAATATAGAACTTTAGGAACTCTATATATGAAGAGTTCATTTGCAAAAACCGATAACTCCACCTTCACAAACCTTCAGAAAACCCACTTTTTTCATCGTTTACCTGAGACAATATCAGTCAAACTTTGAGTTATTTGTATTTTTGTCATGTCTTCTCTACTGAGTCAAATCCACTCAACTTCAGTTTGATTGATATTTTTTCAAGCAAACAACAAAAAATATGTTTTCAAAAAATCTACAAAAATGGACTTATCTGTTTTTGCAAATGAACTCTTCATATATATGTGTGCGTGTGTGATGTCAATAGGACGGGTCACTGACACATGCAGCAGGCCACAGAGTGGAAACGAAACTTTTTTTGCTGTGTGCACTGGGTGAGCAGCTGCCACAAAGTACGTAACAGCAACCACATTTAAGTGCCACTGAATGTTTCATTTTGAATAAGCAAACAAAAAGATAAGCTCGAGGTGTGGAGGTCGCCAGCTGTGTAAAGCAGCAAAACTCTCAAGTCATGGGTCCTACGAGAGAGAGAGGGAGGGGAAGACTGAGAGCAGGACCGGTTTTAATAGGCCTGGTAGAGGTCAACTAACAAACCTCAGCTCTGATTGCAGACGTCTGAAACACAGCAGAGGGACAGAACCTCTACTGGAATCAGTGGAAGCCATTTTGGAGTCTAGAAATCAGCTACATGACTCATTCCTTTAAAAAAAAAAATTAAAAAAAAACTCTTGATTTTCACAAGATTTATGTGACTTTGATTTGATGGAGGAACAAGTGTAAATCTGGCACAGCACTGGCAGATTTCTGTAAGTGCTTTTAGAAAAGATAAGAGCAGCTGATTTGATTGTGGATACATTTTTCAGTGTACGTCAGTCACAAGTCTGAACAGGCCATCAGCGCTTCTGCTGACTCACCCACTTCAGAAGGAAAAAAAATGGTCATGATTAATTTGTCAGAGGGTGTTTTTCTAGGCACACCCTGCGTATTTTCTCTATTAATTGCCACGTATTTGAATGGAAATGACTCAGGTCCTCTCAGGTTGATGCTTTCAACTAAATGTGAGACAAAATGGTTTCTCCCTGCAGTTGTGTCTGTATCTTTTTCATTTTTTCCCGTTGATTGTGACCACCACCCTCCCACCTCCACACAGAGACACCTGCTGTGCAGTGTTCAGCCTACAGGGCTCTCAAATACCTGAGATTATTCTGACTCTCCTTACTGCAGGAATGTGCAGCATGCGTTACTCATCGTCAGCCAGACAAGTGGAGCATGTCCTCAACATCTCAAGATCACCATAAGATGACATTCTTTGACGGCAGGAAAAGCACAGACCTGTTTTAGCTTCGAGTGGTCACTTTGCCAGTCGTGGAAAGAAATGCTCAGATCTCACATTTAAGTAAAAATACCAAAACCACAGTATATAAATACTCTGTTACAAGTAAATGCATTTAAATTAAATAAAAGTGCAACAGCATAAGCATCAAAATATACTTAAACTACTGAAACTGAAAGCACTTAGTCCAGTAATTGAAATTCTATTGGAATCACTGTATGTATGTATTTATCACTTTAATGTTGGAGCTGGTAAAGGTGGTTTAACTACTTTATAGAGTTTATTTGCCTGGTAGTTTGGGAATTTGCCCTCAGGAATCAACATAGATTTATCTCAATTTATAATATTATTAGAAAAAGTACAGTATTTGCCTCTGAGTTGTAGTGGAGTTGAAACATGCCGCAGCAGAAAGTGAAAGTACTTCTGTAAAGTTACTCAGTGTTGCACCGGAGTACTGAGCTCAGTACTTGAGTGAATTTGCAGTTTTAAAATGTTGTGTGTCTACCCTGGCTATGTTATATCTATTTTTACATTTATTTCCGTGTTTTAGCTTCAAACTGTGCCCACACCTTAATGTCTGCGATGGAGTTTATTTCAAGAAACTGTTACATGTCTTTGATGATGACTAACTGGCACACAAAACCACAAAACAAATCTAAAACAGATGAGGAAATGAAAAGAGAGAAAAAAAATGTGTCAATGTGCTAACATTTGCTAGTTAGTACAGCTGAGGCAGATCACTAGTTCTGGAGATATTTCCCCCAACTCTATAAATGTCGTTGGCGCTAAGAGGAAGAGTCATCTTCTGGGTGCCACGAAGGTTTAAAATTTGGCAGAGTGACCTGTAGTATGCATAGTGGGAAAACGATACATACACTGTATATACTGTTTTTTGTGCTGCAAGATATATCATGTGCAAAATCAAAGTCAACACCACCTTAAAAATGCTGCATAGTGATGACGGTCTAGCAAACATGGATTCAGACATCACACGTAACAACATAAGGAATCAATCTTGGCAACATACAGGTTGTGTTTTTTTTGTATTATTACACTTTGTCAGACTCAATTTCTAGCTTTAACATGTATGGCTGAATTACTCCAATATTACAACTTGTCATTGTGTACTTTAGAACAGTTTTAGCGTTTGAGCAGAGTTGTAGGTGAGCTGGTGTGCTCGAGCTGCGGCGAGTGGGAATAAAAGGTTGAAGAAAGATGCAGGGACTTTACAAATCTGCACATCGTTAAGGAAGCAATAGTGCAGAGTCACATCTACACAATTTTTAGGGGTTAAATCAACAACCAGAGACGGACTTTCACTAACTACTACCTACATTGACTACATGTACAGCTTAGTTAGATTTATATAAAGTGTGTTTTCAAACGGCTGCAAAAAAATATAGATCAGGTGTAGCTGCAGGTTTCCTCCCTGGAAAACACCTGCACATTTACTTTAAGACTTCACAAACAAATAGTTCTTTTGGACTTCTGAAAGGATATCTCTGCTTTCATGTACAGGCTGTCTACTCCTCTTCATTTCCTCTCGCTCATCCTTTGTAACCACGGTAACTGACAAAAAAAAAAATCTTTCAAGAGGCCGGTCTGTGATTTTTCAGCATCATAACTAAGAGAATATCTAAGAATTTCTCGCTGGCACTGTACAGCGTGCAGAGGCAGAGCTGAGCTGCTGATGCATGCATCCCTCCCGGTAATCTGACGCATGATCTTGTGTGCATCTCCTCGGGCGTTCTTACAGATCAGCTCATTTCACCCACTTACTCACAGCTGATCGCACACACTGTGGCTCGACTGCACCCACTTACTGTACATGTGTGACTGGCTGCAGGCCACCTCATGCCCACGCTGCTGGAGCAGGGAGTTTAGAGGGGAAGTTAAACAACCTCTTCTTCTCTTTCTGCAGAAACATGTGCACCTAAAGCAGAAGAAGGAAGCAGAAGGAGTCGCCTTTCGTGCCTCAGAGCGGGCCGTGCATCACTCCAGGCTGTCTGTTCTGAACTCTCACGCTCGCTGGCTGACACCCACAGCTCCCTCACCCTCGGCCCCAAATGGCTGACACACAGCAGTTCTTCACTGGCAAGCTTTATGTTCCTGTACACATGCTAAAGCTGCCAGCTGAAGAACTGCTCTGGTCAGCCCTGCCCCGGATGACTCAAGAAAAGGAAGCGGATGGGGGGTGGTGGGAACTGGACTGAGGAAGACGGCGTTTCACACTCACAGCAGTCACGCTGGACTTTTATAACCTGCCAGCTTTTAGCCTGTGGTTTACTTCGCTATTTTATTATCACACGTTGTTTTCTTACAGAAAGCTGCCTAAGTTATGTCTATGATGTTGTTGGTGTTTTGTTTCCAATAAAGAACAAAATGTTCTCTCAGATTTTGGCCTCATTGTTGTCAGCTGCACACTACAGACACTTAAACACATACCAGCAGTGAACGCTCTCTTGTCCAAAAATCCCAACACACTCACAGCGAGGTACACAAAAATGTGTCACACCTAATTGCTTTTAACTTAAAGGTATCTGGTTATCCCATCAAAGGAGAACACATAAGATCAGAGTGGCCTAAAATGCAAGTAATGTGGTTTCAGATTCGCAATAACTTCATAGTCTTTGTTCTCTGGAATCTGAATCTCACATAACAAGTAAACACTTCAGTCAGAACTGTGTGAACCCAGTTAGACTGCTGTTACATATAAACCAGAGCGAGAGGGAAGAAAAACCTTACCTAATGTCTGTTCTTTGGGCCCGAAGGCGTCACCAGCTGCTTCAAGGAATTCCTTCACAGCATGTTTACTGGTAAAGTCACAAGATTATCAAACTGAGGGAGGGACTGAAGGTGAACATATTTGTAGCGGGACAATATTTACAGAAGTTTCCTGTGTGCACATTCTTTGTGTATTTTCAAAGTATTGTTTTGTTACTGTAGGCTGAGAAAGTTTAATAAAGGAACATGAGAAACATTTTCAGTCGTTGTGCCAACTTTCTTGCAGTCAGTGAGTTTAAAAAACAGCCCAGACTTCACAGTCTATAAAGAAATCTGACTGGAGAACACTTGTCGTTGGAAATCTGAATGAGCTGAGGTGGTGTGTAATGCGAGGACATTATACTACAAATATACTTCTTCTCACTGACCGGTATGAGTCTGTAAGTAAAGAAGAAGAGGCGAAAGTTGTTAAACTTGCTGATCTCGATGCAGTTACTCAAAATCACCACAAGATGACGTGATGCTCAATGAAACTGAGCTACAAACATGTCTGAGAGCATCAGAGCCTCAATTCACTGCAGGACACTGAATTAAATGAGGTCAGGCTGACTTGTCGCCACCTCAAGTGGACAAATCTCTGTTTTGATGAATTTTCTGTTGATTGAATGCATGAATGAAACGTTGCCTTGATATATCAAAGTCCATCCACCCCAATAACACACAGATATGTTGTGATTTTCTCAAAGATTCCTATTTTATCCAATGAGACTCACAGTGTGAACGACATCTTGACTGTCTCCATCTGCCTGTTATTTAAGCTTTTATGGATATTTCCACTGATTATTTCATCCTCTTGCATGCCTGCAACAAACATAAACACATTGGATCCAGTCAGATTTCTAATGTAGTCTGCAAGGCACCTCAGGATGACAACTTTAAAGTGACTCTGAGTGTTCAAACTGCATTATATACCAGTGGATAATTTCTGCACATGCATTAATGTGTAGTTATACGTTCTATTATGGATTTCTGAAGTGGAGCTAACTTTAATTGTTGAGTAGTTAATGTGCGATGATGCATCAGATTTTATAGGGTTGGATTGTAACTAAATATATTTGCGAAGTACTGTACTCAAGTACACGTTCATTGTGGCAGTACTTTATGTGAGTATGTCCCTTTTACGATACTTTATACTTCATTAAATTACCATTTGTGTCACCAAATTTTTCAGACAGCTATCAGTTGCTTTTGAGATGGGGTTTTTCCAGAGCAGCAGTCACCAGTCACAACAGCTAAATGGT